TATTGATTTTCTAACAATCTCCTTTGCCTTCCTGCAGTGTTCAGGTGTCAAAGTATAAGGGTCAGGGAAAAAAATATATGTACACAGCGTCTTTCATAAAACTAGAACACAACTTCAAGGAAGAGAGCTACTGTAGAAGATAATATCCTCTATCCCTCACCCTTGGTGCTTAAGGCCTATAGACATACACACACACACACACACACACATTTGTACAGTGATGCACACAAGTGCTATCAAGTGGAATAGGCTCCACATCACACGCCTCTAACTGTGTCACTCCAGTTCACATCAGTTGTTGCCACAGGATACTTTGGTGTAGCTGCTTGCTGTGTATTTGTCCTTGTTTGGTTGCTCAGTAAGTGACCTCACCTCTTTAAAAGTGCACCCTGGGATAGATCATCAGGATGGAGAAATAGCATTTACTGTATACATTTTATCTCTTCCGGAGTCAATCCAATGGATTCAATGAGAGGCTTTCTTCAGAAACAAAAGATGACTGATACAGATGGTGACTTTGGCAGAGTATTTCAATTAATATATTTTTAGCAATTATTAAAATTTCCAGAGAGAAACAATCTGTTTGTTATAAGAGAGGTTTGTAAAGTAAAGATTAGAGAGTGAGCCTCATGCAAGATTTTAGCTTTTAGCTTTCTTATTTCTCTCTGTGAGACTTGTTCTTATCAGGGTCAGGTTCAGCAAAACCACTTAACTGCAAATTGCTTGTCTGAACCTGATGAAAGCCACCAGTTCATGAGCAAGCATGCTGTCACAGCCCAGCTCGTAGGGTTGTGTGCAGTACAGTAATCGAAATATCAGATGTGCCAGTAGCCACTTTCCACCAACATTAGTCTCTAATACCAGCAACAGACCTGGCAGAACACTGCTGGAACCAGCAGGGGTTGCCACAGTACATTTCAGGTATGTTATCATTGGCATCATCAGCATCCCATGTTGGTATATAAGGCTAGTTGTTTCACTCCATGTTCAGGCAGCATCTCAGTGACAAAAATGTCGTTTGAGAGTTGTTCAAAATACAAAAAACAGCTCTCTTAAACAACTTCTATGTTCCACCTAAGACAAATCCCACCCACTGTCTGTAATACTGTATATTTATATTACTTTATATTACATTACAAAATACAGTCTCTCCTATTTGTGCTCATGAGGTTTTTACGTGTGTCAGAGGATTATTTAGTTTACAGAAATTAGCCTATGCTAAAACTTCTGCTGTGAGTAGTGAAGCCAAAGACAATTTTCTGCACTGTGGAAATGAAGGTTTCTAACTAATTATGTGCTCAGTGGGTTTTGTCATGAGAGCAGCCTGAGTCTGTGAAGACAGATTCAACAAGCTCAAGCAGTGGATTTAATTATTTCCGCAAAGGAATCACGTTAATGCCACAAGTCCCAGCCACACAATCTCAAAATTACTATATTACAGGATTATTTTACAGAATATCTTAAGGCAAATTAAAGCCGTTGCCATTTTTCTGAGATGGAGCCAGTTATTGTGCAAGACAAAGTTTGAGCTGTTGCTATGATACAACAATGCACAGTTGTTGCTAAAGGACTAAAGGAAACAACGTGGTGGCAGATCAGTGAATCACTATTAAAGAATCTGATTTCTCATAGATGCCGTTGTATGTTTCACTAGTTACTATGTTCTTGAGCTCGAAATTGCTGACCTTGTTGTACAGTAACAGAACCTGTTTATGCAGTCAGCTGAAGCTGTTTGCATAAACTGGGAGGTGGAGAGCACAGACAGTAGAAGCAGCTGCAGGTGCTGTTGCTGTTACAGCCATCTCATCTGAGTTTAAACGACAGAAAAATGCTAAATGTAAATGAGCAGGCTCTTGCATCTCTGTATAATTCAGTCAGTTGAGTACTTCACATGGCAGTCTCTTTAATTGTCATGTGTGAATGATTTAGTGAGGTGTGATTGTGAAGAAGCGGTGAGGAAAGTGCTCATTGCAGCCAAAAATCCTCTCAGGAAGAAAAGAACATTCCCCCAGTCATTTATATCTGTCGGTTTTGTAATAGCCAGCCCTCTACCACATCTCCAATTATTTCCTTTTCATTTTACTGACAGATTTGATATGTGATAGATAATATTATGTACTAATATGCAGAGACATACTGTAGCTCTACCATGTATGGTATTCTCAGTATACTGCAATATAATAACCCCTTCTTGCTATAATTATAGTTTTATTATAGAACTGGGGTCACAGTGGATCTTATCTTACCACCAGGAGTCCTTCTAAGTGGTGCTAAATGTTCCTAAGTGAGAGTTTCCTCTTACATAAAAGCTTTTCATAAGGCTGCTACAGCAAGTGCAGCTCTCGGTTAGGAAATGAGGGAGCGCCCAACTGTGCATCCAGTGCAAGACATCTCGACAGCTACTGCAGTTTGGTATGCATATTCATGGTCTCCACTAGTGATGCTGCTTTTGGTGAGCCTTAGCATTTTGTTTTGTGCATCCATCAGTTCAGTCCTGAATCCACATGTTTCTGATTTTCTCTGCTTTTCTTTTTGCGCCAACCTCGGATCAAAGCATCAGCTTTGCACACAAATAAAGCCCCGTGTTTCAGACTATTTGGCAGATTTCCTTGAGGTTTTCTGAGTACATTTCTGCTCATATGGATGCAGTTTGAGTGCATGTTATGAACCTCATCATCTTTTCCCTGGTGCAAATATGGCATCCTCACATTCACACTTTTAGCCCCACTTCTGCTAAAACCATGAATATGTTTTTTGTTTCATCCAACACTTTAGACTTTATTTTCAAGAGGAGTGGTCACCCAGTGATGGAACATACAGTACAATATATTTTTGTGTAACTATCCAGGTATCCAGCAAACCATCGAGCAAGAAGAAGGGCAGAACAGGTCATCAGCTGACCTGAGGATACGTAAAACACAGGTACAGTTCAGGAGGGACAGCAGCCGAGTCAACAGCTGTGTCCCAGTTGCATACTGCCTACAGCTGTATTCAATACTGTGTGTATTTACTGTTTTTTGTAGTTAATATTTTAAAAATCTAGGTACTTTACCATTGTGCCCAGGTGCAAGTGACATAATATGTGTCCTTATAGACGTCAGCCCAGCTGGGACACAGCTACACCTGTATATTTACATATACAGTGTAGAGTATATTATGCTGTTCATTTACTGAAATTACTGAGTAATTTAGTGTCTCCTGCTGGCGCTGAGCAGGTTGAAGTGACATGTTTTGTTGTTTCTCAGCACTCTACACTGTCCCGCAAGTTTGTTGAGGTGATGTCAGAATACAACACCACCCAGTCGGACTACAGGGAGCGCTGCAAGGGACGCATTCAGAGACAGCTGGAGATTAGTAAGTAGACCTGGGAGACACGTTCACACTGCATGGATCTAAAATATCAGCATCTATTTTCAGGGAGTGTATCCTTTTTGTTTCATTTCAGAGCTTTCAAACATTGATTTTTGCATCTTGGTCACTTGTTAAATTAAAACGAAGGAATTAACAGTGTTGTGAAAGAGGGAACACAGTCAAACCTGGAGAACAGTCATGCTAATCTTTATGCATGTTGTGTTGTGCCTGAGATGCCACATTGGTTGTCTTTCACCGTATCACACTACAGGGGATACACTCATTTTCACTTTGATGTCCAAGCTTCGTCAGATCTTATATGATGTAGTCTAATTCTGCTTTCAGGGAGTGGACTCATACTCCTGGCCAATAGTATGACCTTGATGTGGTGAGGTGCGCTGTAATTGTTACTGCACACAAATTGTAGCTTTCAATCAAGGATCACAGGATCATTTCTATCATGATTGCATTACTCAGTCCTGAACAATAATGAGGACAAAAAAGTCATATTTCCCCATAGGTCTTTTATCTTCTTCTAAGTATCATCCTCTTCATCTTCATCCTCCCTTTGTTGTCAGATGTTAGTTTCACTCTAAAGGCTAAAACATATAGTCTGTACCCACAGTCTCAACTAGTGTTTAAATATTCAGAACCATTTTACATTTACATTTTATCTACAGCACTGCTCTGTGTCATAAAATTGTCTGAATGCTCTTGTGCAAGTGTGAGGATTGTGCAGATGTGCCACTACTGCTGTACATCTACACACTTACTGTATACTAAGACTAGTTCCTGTCAGAATTATTAGCACACAAACTACTGCAACATTATCTTGAAAATTCAGTCAGTGAAATTTGTGGGGTGAACGGCGCCATGGTCACAGGAGCAGGTCAGCAGCCACTTTCCACACTGTCTTGATTTAAAGTAATGCTTCTGTCTGATAAATTGTTTTTATTTTCCATAACAGTTACCATAAGTGAATAGTCCTCCATTAACATTCACTCTTCTGCATTAATATGCAGTTTAATTTTTAAAACCACATGCAATACACACATGAATTTATTAAGGTTATTATTTACATCTACATTCATCTTATTCACTCTCTGTTACATTTATTATTAATGAAAATAATAAAAAAACAATCCTTTATTTGTGTTTTTATAGAACAAAATTCAGTTTCTCTCATCCATATTTTATTTTGAAATAGTCTGCTGCAGTTTACCAAAACAGCCGCTCCCATGCTGCAGCCACTTTCCAAAACACATACATCACCAACACCCACACCTATATGCGTGCACATGCCAGATCTGAGCTCCACTCAGTGGTGTTACACTGTTTGTGTAATATGATTTGACAGGTATCGGCTACAGGCCCCAAGATCCTGGACCAGGCAACGGACACAGCATCCTGGCAGGCTGCGCCGTGCCAGCTGCCCCCAACACGCATCTTGATAGATTCACTTTACACACACACATGCACATACACACACGTGTATACAAAGAAGAGCACTATGACTCACTTTATATCAGAGCAGGGTTAGTCATGGTTCAGGGCTGGCTTAGATGTAATTTCCTCTGGTCATCTGTCAGTTTAGAGTGGACTCATGCAGCCAGGTCTGTATTTGTGAGCTCCACCAATATAACTAAACTAAATGTGGTCTGGTCAGAAGAGCGCCAGTTACTCGCTGTACTTTCTGGGGTTATTCAAAGGACTAATGCAACCGCACCCGCGCGCACCCGAGCCATCTGCGGCGCCAGCTCCCTCGATGGCAACTTGGGGGTTCAGTGTCTTGACCAAGGACACTGACATGTGGACTGCAGGCACCGTGATTCAAACCTCCGGTTGGTAAACTACTGCTCTACCCACTGAACCACAGTCACTCCACATACTGTATATCGGCTGAAGCCTCAACTGATACTACCTGAAAGGATTAGACACACAGGGAGAGTACAGAGATGGACTGAAGAAGGAAAATTATGGGAATAACGCATAAAGAGATGCAATTTTTGGTTTTGAGGGAAGCAAGTCTCCAGTTTCTGGTGGTCTCCAGTAAAACATTTCTCTTACTTTCTCTCTGTTATGATTTAAGTCAGTTTAACGTCTTCAGGGTAAAATGGCAAGAGAAGTGTTTCTTTTGTGCCAACCCCTTTGACTTGTTTGTGTGTGTGAACTGTATCACACACAGCGGCAAACCTAGTCTGGTGTGTCCGATTGAGTATTGATGTATCCTCTGCTGCTGCTTTTCCTCTTTCCTGTTCAGCCTCAAACATGTTGGATACAGACATAAAAGGAACAGGAAAGCAACACTGTGACATACTGTAAACATGTCGTTGTCAAGACAACACTAGTTTTTGCTTCTATTTGTATGGCCAACAGTGCCCCCAAGTTCATATACAGAATATCTGCATCAACCCTTCACCAAACTGACTTTTGTACAGCATGTCCTTTTGTATTTAATCTGTATAAAGGAAATGGTTTCCGTAGTTCCCAGCAGCAACATAAAGATACTGCTCACAGTTCTGCCACATCTTTGGCATATCTAGACAAAATACGGTTTTCCTAAATGAAGTAAATCTACTACAGACTAGCTTTGGAGACACAGTGGTCTCCTCGAAGTGGCCCAGTCAGAGCTCAGACCTCAACCCAATATAGATGCTCATGGCTGAGCTGAAGCTGTTCTGTAGGAAGAATGGTCCAAAATTCCTCCTGAACATTGTGCAGGTCTAGTCCACAGATACAGGAAGCACTTGGTTGAGGTTATTGCTGCCAAAGATGGTTCAACCACTTATTAAAACATTGTTGCCATTACTTTTATCATCTTAGAAATATTGTGTTTGTTGATATTTGTGACTTTGGTGAAGATAGATCACATTTCATGACCAATTTATGTAGAAAACCAGTTTCAAAGTCTTGAAAGAAACCACCCTCAGCTGTGACGTCATGGTGTGCACACACAGCCTGGATTACACTTTGGCAAAAACTAGATTTTCAGCCACTTTGAAGTTGCTCTTCATTAGTAAATGGAGTCCAGAGGCATCCAGAAGAAACTTCTTCTACTTCCAATAAAATTTTTTGTATCCTTTTTTAAAATTCTTGAACCATCTGACCATAATTAGACTTTTCTTATTGTTGATATATTTAATCAATTCATTACTAGTCACCAATATTTAGATTAAAACAGGCAAACCAACAGTAATTAGTTTAAAGGAATAGTTCAACATTTTGGTAATACACTTTTTCTTAAAAAGAGTGATATGAGAAAATCACTAGTACTCAAAACCACTTAACTAACACTCATGTCATTTAAATATGACGCCAGAGCCAGAGTATGACCAGCTTAGCCTACCACATAAACTGGAAACACGGAGAGACATCTAGCCTGGTTCTCTTGAGTCGTGACAAAACCAGCACCTCTGTAGCAGACTAATGAACACATTGTATCTGGTTGTTTTTAAATTCCTACTTTTGCACACAAAAAAATGTGATTTTATGGTATGGTGACCAGCAGAGACTCCAAAATGTTACTTGTCCATCCAGATAATTAGTCCATGACATCCTCGTAAAACTCCATGATGTGTTTCAGCTTTCATACAGGGTAAACAAATGAGAAATGGCATGTTAATAATTTAAGTTTATTATTAAGGTGGCAGAATATCACACATTAATTTTGTTCCTTAAGCAGACAGACAAGCCCAGCAGGATGGAGGGGATGTCGGTCAAATTGACGCAGGGCCTCTTTGACATTTCATTAGTTCTCTTTTGGCTGGTGAAGACACACTCAAAATGCCAGGGAAAAAGACAGAGGTGTACAGCACACACACAGTCATTCTGGATTACTGGCCTGTGTGTGCAGAGAGCTGTACATGCTTTTCTCATTCCTGTGCAGGTGAAACTGCAAAAAGCAAAAGCACAAACTTTGCCTTCCTGTTTTGCGCCGCATGCATGAACATTTTTGTGGTTTTCACTCCTTGGGGATCTCACTTCATTTGTGTTACATAACAATGGAAATGACATAATATTGTTACTGGTAGCAACATAGTATGAATGATTTAATAGCCCATAAACACTACGGGTGAAGTGAGACTTCTTAGCTTCATGTTAGGCTTCTCAGGGTTTGGGTCTCCATGGCAACAAATAAGAGCCTCCCTCAGAGCCGTCAGGGCTTTAAAAAAGCCAGTGAGGAGTGTGTGCATGTGTGTCCAAGTGCATGTGTGTAGGAAGCAAGATTAGAGTAGGGTAGCACCAGAGTGCCTTCGTTTTTTTGTTTTTCTTCACAATTATCTGTGACTCATTTTCGCTCCTCTCTGTCCTTCAGCTCTGACTCTGACCCTCTTTAATGCTATAGTTTTAGCCTTAATGATAGAGAGATTGTTATCATACCGGCTGGGAGATAATTGATCACAGTGATGTGGTGAATAAGGTCTCTCACTTTTCTCTGTGTGCTATCATCATCCTCTCATTTGTCAAACTGCTGCTGAACAAGAGCAGAATCTTAAGCACCGTAATGAACCAGTGAGACCACTTAACCATGGCTACTGTAAATGAAATTCTTTGGTTTGATTTGGATATGAAGTTTAGATTATGTGCATTTATATATAGACATATATGTAAGAAGAAATGCACAAAAAGAAATGGAACACAGATGGATGCATGGACACGTGTTCATGCACTGGTAAATGATAGAGAACAGTTTCGTCAGTATTGTATTCATGAAGGCAGTCACAGGCTCTGACTGCCGACCATCATCATTCACCATTACCCCACCTGCTCAGCCACCAGTACCACCCCCACACTGACCACCAGGCTTCATATTACACATAGAAATACAACAGGTCATTTATAGATGCTTTGTAACTGCCTCTAAAGTCTCCAGACACAGCTGCTGGAGAATAAAAAATGAAATCTAGCAAAGCTAGCTGTGCAGGTCCATTCAGTTATAGTAAGTGAAAAACGTGATAAGTCTTGTTGTGGGTTTTAAAGACATAGTTTGACATTTGTGGAAATGCATTTATTTGCTTTCTTGCCAAGAGTTGAATGTGGAGATCAACACTGCTCTCATGTCTGCATGGTAAATATGAAGCTACTGCCAACAGCACTTAGCGTATCTTAGCCTGCTAGCTGTCTGCCCCCACTTCTTTACACTCTGCAAATAAGCATATTTTTCAAAATGCCAAACATGATTGAGTTTTCAGCTAGACAATGTTGTGGAATCTTAAATCTCATGTATTTTAATTAGCTGTCATTTGTTGGACCAGCACTGCTGGGATTTCTGGTCCCTGAAATGCTGCTGACAAGAACCTCTTGTTGGTTACTATATAGAGTGTATACAGCGTGTATGTCTGGATAACATTTGTATTATCAGTGTAGTGTAGTGTAGCCATCGCAGCTGAGAGAAGTCAGAGTAATTGCTCAGCCTGTGTTTGTAGGGACCCATGGTGTCATCATGGGGAACAGATAGTGCTGTGCATTGTCTGTCTAGTCCCACAGAGGATTTAAAATGTGCAAAGGAAAAACTGGAGATGGTGCTGACAGAGCCTGACTGTGACTTACGCTGTCAGTGGGACAGAAATGGAGCCCGAGAGAAGCAGCTCTGCAGGCAAAATCAGTGCTCCTACACAAGGATATTAATGTAGGTGTAGGGGGAATGTACAGTATATGAAGTAGGACAACTCTGTTGGGGAAATAAAGACTAATGAGGAGCAAACACATCAGCAAGATGAAGCAGGAAGATGTGCTGTCGCGCAGGCAGGGCGCAGATAGAGAGATAGGAAGTTTGTTGGGGAGAGCTACAGTACTGAGGCAACTTAATACGCCACTGAATAAGAAGGTGAAGGCCATATTTTTCCTTTGATCTTTATAATATATCTAAGATAACTACACAACCAAGGATTATTAGGCCTGCTTAGTTAGAAGACTTTACCCAGTAACATTCAGATTAGCTGGGAGTAAAACTTTAGGTTGTTGCTCGGCTTGTATTCCAGGCCCAGGTTGGTTTAGACTGATCAGTAACTGTTACAAAATTTCTCTTGTGAAATAGATAATCAGCCTGAATTATGACACAAATGAGTTTTCTGTTGCATTCACAGCTGCTCACACATGTAACAATAAAATGTGTTATAGACAGTGGAGGCAAATGAACAAAGAGAAAAGATCATGTGGAAAAGAGAGGAGCACAGGTCTTCTTTTAATAAGTCCTCAGACACACAGGAGGGGTCTTCTTTTAATAAGTTTTTAATAAGTCCTCAGACACACAGGAGGAAGGAGTGGGACGACTATTTTTCCCTGGGTAAGATTTATTGGTGTTTCCTAATGTGGTCTTGACCCACTGAGGTTTGGAGAGACTTGTAAATTCAACAGCAACACCTACAACTCATAATTCCTGGGTTTAATCCTAATAGTAAGACAGTGTAAGTCTCTTAACACCTACCATGAGCCCATTTAACAGTTTTAGATGTTTATGAGTGTGTGTCTGTGCATGTCCTTTTAGCTGGGAGAAACACAACAAATGAGGAGCTGGAGAGCATGTTGGAGAGTGACAACCCAGCTATCTTTACCTCGGGGGTAAGCAATACAACAAATGCTACATGAATGCACACAAAGCATGGTTTCAATCCAGTGCACTAATTTATTCTACACATCTCTAAGTATTTCCTTCTGTTATACCATGTTAGATCATTATGGACAACATCACGCAGCAAGCTATGAATGAGATCGAGACACGGCACAACGAGATTATCAAGCTGGAAAACAGCATCAGGGAGCTTCATGACATGTTCATGGACATGGCCATGCTGGTGGAGAGCCAGGTGAAAACACAGATCCTCTCTCTCTATAGCTACAGCGATAATGGTTTAGGGCTGAGCACAAAGCACATGACAAACAAACCCTCATTTTTAAATTGGCAGTCCGTCTACCAACATAGACAAGAGAGAGTTAAAAACACAGTTTCTGGATTCAGAGCCATAGCTAATGCAGAGGTTCAATAACACACTGTTTACAGTAGTAGAATCATAACCGGCTGAGCGTGCTAGCCTGCTGCAGCAGCCTTGCTGCTCCTCCCTGTCATGAAAATGACTCCTCTTCAGATAGACAAAAACTGGCAATCATTTAATTTACATACAAGTTGCAGAGTGTACTAGTATAAATAAGGCCTATTGCTGCCAGCAGAGTTGGAAGGGGGTACTGTTTTCAGCTCCATTTGGTTGTCTGTTTACAAAATATCTTAGTAAATTTAGACAGAATTTGGGGGACAGTTGATTGGAATTTGGTGATTAGATGTATTTGGGATTTCTGCCATTACACAAGTTTTTTGAACTAGCTATCATGCTGCGTTCATGAGCTGAAAGGAGAATGTGACATCTGGGACTTCTGCGTTGGCAACTAAACAGCACTGATTTTTTTGTCAGGGCATTAAATTGTAAACAAACCTTAATTTACTCCACAATTTGAGAATTGCATATATTCAAATGTAAGTATGTCATGTCCTTTTGTTAGAGAATGTTACTCTTTTACATAGATGTAGCTTAGTGCACAATGAGAACCTGCATCATCCAGGGACCAGTGAACATACTTGCACTGATAGAATGGGATTTCTTAAGTATACAACCTCTTCAAAGCCACATATGCAGATTAATCTGTGTTCTGTATCGGCCTGCAGCCTGCATATGTGACTGTCTGCATGAATGTGTGGGCTGAACCCCCACAGAGTATAACTGTTTCCCTCATTAGTCTGAACACATGCATAAGAAAATATGCTGAATGACAAATATGGAAGCAAATTGTTGCATGTAAGTGATTTGAATTACAATGACAGCACAATGCAATAGCAGGCTTTCCTTCACAGGCTTTTGGCGTGGGGGTGGGAGTTGGTATTGTGTGTGTGTTTGTGTTCATACTCGTATTCTCCTGTCATGGATTTGAATGCTCAAATTGTAAATATTTAATTTAACTAACTCTTCCTTTATTAACTGAGTGCCACATAATTTAAGATTATGCCTGAGTTCATTTGGTTTTGCCTTTCTCAGCTGTGCTCTCTCTCTTCTCTCCAATTCCCTCTGTTGTTTTTTTCACCACAACAATGACTCTAAGTTCTAAAGAGCAGAAGCACTGTTTTCCTTCTAATACAGCAAGGTAATTTACCTCCAGTTCTTCATTTTCACTATTTTTACATTTAAATCGTTGCTGCAGTGCATGCCTGATGACGTCTATACTGTACATAGGTTTACTAGAATATTCACTCAAATGCAAAAGGATTAGAGCTACAGTAAATATGCAGGTTCACTTCTGCTCTAGACTCTTATAAACTACAGTGTCAGTAAGAAGGAACATATGGATGATTAAATAAAGAAAGAGAAGAGTAAAAATCAAATAGTATCTTTTTTCAAAGCCTTCACAGTACAATACAATACATTCTCTAAGATGCTGTATGTATAATGCTGTATTATGTATCTGGTATTAAACTCAAACTAGGCATCATATACAGTACGTATATCCATAGACAGATAGATTCCTGCTCTACCCACCACTACAATTGCTCCTTCTCTTATTCTGTGCAGGGTGAGCTGGTGAACAATATTGAGCATAGTGTGCTGGAGGCTCAGGAATATGTGGAACAGGCAAAGGAGAGCATCCCAAAATGCAAGAAGTTCAAAAAGATGAGCAGACGGGTGAGATGCAAGTAGCACACAGTTTACAAACTGACTCTCACATCGCTGTTTTCCTCTTTCTTTGCTCCTTGCTGCTTCCTTTTCTACCCTTCTCTATCACCCATTATTCTGTCCCGTTCCCTCACCACCTCTCCATCTGAATCCACTCCTCCTCCTGCCTACACATCTGCCTCCCTCTTTCTTCTTCCTGTCTGCATGTCTCCACACCTCCTCTCTAACTAACCTCTCCTAGGGGGAAATGATAGACCGCATAGAGTACAATGTGGAGCACTCAGTAGACTATGTGGAGAGGGCAGTATCAGACACTAAGAAGGCGGTTAAATACCAGAGTAAAGCCCGGAGGGTGAGTCACATAGCCAACAAAACAGTGCATGTGCACAAACATGCTATGAATACAGATAATTCTAGAAGCACTGCATGAACTGTACATGGTGTAGTGCTGTGACTGTCATCAACATGTATGCATGCTCACCTGTCATGTATTCTGCATGTGGAAGATGTGTGTCATGAGTATACTCAACATATTCTACAGCAGTGATTCCCAAAGGGTTCATGTTTTACAGACTGACAGGAGGCAAATCTTTTTGTTGTAGTAAACCACAGTACACCGGCCTTGGTCAGCTGTAACATCTGAACCCCACCTTCCTCTGAAAGTTTATGAACTCTAGTTAGCAACAGTGCTGGGAAGTTGAATAAGTAAATAGTAGGATAAATGATGGAAATGAAATGTTTAGCTTGGTTAATCAAATGCAAAAGGAAATGCAAACTTGCATTTCTTTGAAGACCCACACACAGTGAGGTGCAGACCAGGCTGAGCTTGATTGCAAATCCATTAAAAATCCATTAAAAATTCCACACACCCAAATCTTCAAAAAGTCTTCTTGTGTTTAATGTTTTGTTTTAATGCACAAAGCAGCACAAAGGGAACAAAAAGCACACAGGTTTTGGCTGTTCCCTCTTCAGTGTGCAAAAATCCATTCCAATTAAAGTGTGTTGCACAGCTCTTCTCCATTATATCAATAATGGGTGGAGGTGATGAAAGGATTCAAAGTGACTGAGAACATCTGGTCTACAGTTCCTAAAGAGGGTTATTCACTGGGTTCCTTGGGTTTATCTCTCTGTGATAAACCAAGGCTTGAGAAAGTGACTGTGTCCTTCCTTCAGTTAACAACCTGCACCACAGTGGAGCAACTCTGCCACCTCTTGGTTAATATTTATAATAGCACTCAAAGGTGGAGGAATTTCACATGCCAATCAACCCCAATTCACCACAAGGATCATCTACATGATTAATTCCCAACTTATCTCAGACAATGCAACAACAATGGTTCTTTCTTTCTCTTCCTCTCTTTTCCCTCTTTTTTTGTCTGTTATTCATTCATTCTTTTGTACATCTCCTGAATCATTATCTGACACTTTGCCCTCCTTGTCTTCCATCTTATGTCCCCCATCCAGAAGATGATCCTGATAGGAGGTTGTATTGCCATATGTCTGACCATCCTCATTATTTGCCTCGCAGCTGGACTCAGTTAGGACTCTAAGAAATCCCCCAATAGCAGACAGGGCAAAATGTGTCCTATCAGGGCCGTACGACAGCCAAAGAGTCACACTACTAACTGTTCATCTCTTAATCAAAATGCACTGATTATTGAGCTCTATAACATACAGTTAGTGGCTGCTCATGTACGTTACATACGTTACAGGTCTCATAGCAGTCCAGTATCTCTCTGTGCACATTAATATTGTACACTTACTTTTAGGTGCATTTTAATGTTGGCTTTTCATGAAGTAGTCAGCCAAGGACCTTGATGACCTGCTTGTGCTTTGTGGCTGTTTGTGAGTTGATTCAAATAACCTTTGTCATGCAAACAACATCAGGGTCTGATTCAGCTGTACAGTAAAGTACTGATGAATCGGTGAGAACCCTGATGTTGTTTGTAGCATTAAAGGAATAGTTCAACATTTGGGAAATATGAAAAAATTAATAAAAGCTGATGTGTGAAAAGATCACACTAGTGACAATCCTCCAGGAAGTCACTTTGCCCAACTATGAACTAGTCCAGCATGTAAACCCCATGCATGTGGTATAAGTACTGGATATCGTACTCCAACATGCGGCCTACTCACTTGGATAAAAATTGTTCACCAAGTGCATAAACCTAAAAAGCATCAAGATTTGTTTTGGATGATGTCACATAAAAATAACTTTAGTAGACTCTGGGACTGTTTTCCAACATTTCATCTTCATGGGTTAAAAAATCATCATACAAAGAGAAATAGCTGTTTGCAGTTGTGGTGTTGTATCAACAGATTTACAGATGCTGATTTAACGTTGGTCTAAGGGGAGAATGCTTTTTGGGCTGGACACTTTGCTGCAGCGAGACAAATTGGCCACGAGGTTGAGTGGTGCGGCCGTAGCCAGCTCTCAAAAAATTCGCTGTAAAAACACACAGCATTGTTTTTACACTTAGGTTTTTCCACAGATTAAATAAGATGCAGCGTTTTAATTAGTGAACTTTAGAGGTGCTGAGAATCCGACTTTGTTACCGTTGGACAGAGCCAGGCTTCTCCCCCCTACTTTCACTCCTGCTTTGTTTGTGCAAGCTAACCAGCTGCTGGCTTCAGCTTCTTGATTAGCAGACATGAGAGTGGTGCTGAGCCTGTCATCTAATTCAACAAATAACTGTAATTCCCAAATTTTTGAACTATTTCTTTAGGAACTGATGGAGACTGTTGATTCCAGAGGCTTTAAATGTTGCAGATTAGCAGTTTATGAATGCATGTGGAGGAATGCATGCTAAAAAGATGTGTTTCACAAGTCACGTTTACTTTAAAGTCACTGCGTGGATTTTTTTTTTTTTTACATAAAAATGTAGTTATTCAAGTGAACATCAGTGAGGTCTATGTATTGCTTCCATCCATAGTCTGGTTGCAGTATAAGTCATAAACCCTGCCCCTCCATGTTAGTAGATGGGACACGAGCCAAAATAAAAAGTACAAGTCAAATACATTTTTCACAAAGGTGATTTCTGTCATTGTAGGTAGATATTATTCCACTGCTTTATGTACAAGCGGTTGACTTTCTGATAAGTTGATAAGCTGATAAGTTATTTGATGATATAAAAAGGGGTGTATGTTGGATGATTTGACAGCTTTGATTTGCAGCCTGATACGGTGGCTCCACCTCTGGCTGCTACTGTGCAGAATGTGTTTGCAAAATGCATCACAAAAGCGAGATGGCCGCCCCGTATTCACAGTATTTTGCCTTCACTTTTTATACTAGAAGGACGTGGTGACACGTCATCCATCTTTATATGTAGTTTGTGCTTTCACCTTATTTCCAGAGGTGGCTATGTGCATTTCTGCCTGCCACGTTGTCTCTTTGATACAACCACCAGATGGCACCAAAACGTTAGGATTTCTTTATTGTACACATGGTGGCTTTAGAAGATTGTGGCATGTGTGGTTATACTGCATGTTTAATGTGGTGAATGAAACAAAACAGAACAAAATGCAGGAACCAAAGATTTATGGTTTCACAACTAGAGTATGTGGGAAAAACATCTAAACCGCAGTCACACTCCAACACCACCACCATCTTTGTCTAAACTGCACTGCATCCTGCTCTTCTTCTAAACTGCATTTTGTTCAGATTTTTTATAAATATTGTAACATGTGTTAGACAAAGTACAAGTCATGTTTCTAACATGTTCTTCTGTGCTCTCCCTTTGCTGCTGTGGATGACTTGTTAACACTATACAGAAGAAAATCATGATTCTTATATGCTGTGTGGTTCTGGCAATTGTCATTGCTTCCATTGTTGGGGGAACGCTGGCCTAAACCTCAGCCACAGTCACACAGAGAGACACACAAATACACACTTAGAAACACACAGCAGAGCAAAAACACAACAGTATTTTCAGTTTCCTGTTTTCATGAATGCAATCTACCACGTGTTTTGGCCGAGGTCCGTTACATACTGTAGGATACATTTGACACAGGGCCAGAGGTGTTTTCGCATGAGTTGCTATTTTGTAAATGTGTGGTGCTGCAAAATGTTTATCTGAGTGTTGTCAACCATATGATGTTTCCAATGAAGAAGTTACTAAATGGTATTTAACACTATACTGATACATTCCAACTTCCAATATGTCATTAATTCAGTTGCAATGTCTATTTTGTGTTGTACAGGCCACTGCAGTGTTTTCAAAGGCACGTTATTGCTGACCTCTATTTATTTAAAGGTGCATTAACTAAGATTTTACACACTGTTTGATAAATAATATTAACAAATTAAGAGCAAAAACCAGGGTTAACATCAGTTTGGCTTTTTGAGATGGAAAGCGTTAAAAGCAGCCAAAGGACAAATTTAATTCAGCTGTGGCATCCTTCCTTCTGGATGCATTGGCATCTAAAACTAACATATTTGTTTTGGTACAATGAGTGACTTAGCATGGCTGCAATTTTACCTTTGTGTTGAATATGATTTTTATTTGAGAGAAATTCAAACTTTTTGTTATGTTAGTGTTTTGTTAGTCCCGTTTGGAAATGTCTCATCAACCTTGTCATATTGTGCCACTGCAATGCTGCCTTAGAGACGGAACTCGTTAGTCAGCTAACGGTAGCTTCAGACAGGCGGCTGCTTTTTGTAAAGTTTGTCACAACCAGGCAGCCGTAGTTTACGTTGTCACTTAGAAACAAGTCGTTAGTTGTCTCTGAAATTCACTAAACCTGCTAGCAGCTGAAAACAAATTAGTTAATGCATCTTTAAATGCTTATTTACTTGATCTTTTCTTGTCTTTTTACTTATATTTCTCTCTCTCTGATGTCCTATCTCCCTTCAAAAAGCCTGCATGGTTTACAGTAGTTCACTGTAAAGTGGTGTTTTGTATATTGCACAAGAGAAAGAACACAACTGATTCCTGATATTTTGCTTGTAGAATCGTCACACTGCCAAACGTTTTCTAATGTCAGTCTTGTAGTTTGCAAAAGCAATGCTACTGTACTTAATCTCATCTTACCAGCTGTGCAGCTTTTTAAGTGTTGCGTATGAGTGAGTGCATGCATGTGTGTTCACTTGTAGCTACACGTTTGGACGTGCTGAGCACGAGTCGCGGATGAGAACGCGAGTGCTTGTTTCCAGCCACCTGTGTCTTTGTTTAGTATAAAGCGTAAACTGGTGTAAAGCTCTCTAACACTGCCAGTATGTTCAAATAAGCTGTTAAAATGGAGGCTAGTCTGGTTGGATTGATCATTCTGGTCTGTAAGTGGTAAACCCTTGTTGTTTTATGTTCTTTTTATACACCCCAAGCTTTAAACAGATCATATCCTTCTTTAAACTTATCGGTTTAATTTCATGAGTGAACCAGAGGAGACAATGAAAGCGACAGCATGAACTCAAAGTAGCCCTGTAACAGACTCATATCAGTTTTCTGAGGACACATCAGGCGTGCACAGACGTGTTACCATGTTGCCTACTGACAGTAACTTGTTTCCTTTGTTGTCATATTGTGATTACATGGTTTTGTTTCTCTAATTTGAGTTGGTGTTTTGTTTTGTTTTTCCAATTAAAGTTTGTCTGAAAAATCACATTCAGACTTTGTGCTTTGCTTTGCTTACATGCGTTCACAGGGACAGGATGTCTCTTTGATTCCATTAAAGTTGGGTCTTATTCTCATAACTGTGGCCTTTCCCGCTTTTGGTCATAATAGCTTTGCACTCACCACTGTTATTTTAATGGTCCAGGAAAAGTGACTTTTCAACATTATTGTCTATTGAGTATAAAACAACAAAAGTCCAGTACAAATGTTTCTAATATTATTTTACTTGTACTCTCAAAAGTAAAAATACTTCTTATGTAAAACAATTGCTTTGATATACTTTGTAGCTACTATATTTAAATTGAATTTTTGGTAACACTTTACAATAAGGGTACTTAATGCAGTAATGAGCATTAACTAATAGGTAACTAATGCTTTTTTAATCATTTACTAATGTTTTTCATGTTAATTAAAGTATTAACTCATACATTATTTAATAGTTTTTAATGACACTGCTAACATTAGTTGATACAACAATAAGCATTAAATAACTTAAATGTCTCTTGCTAAACTAATGCTAGTAAATAGTCGATAAAGATATTAACATGTATTTCATGAAGTTAGCTGTAGCGGTAGTTCTCCAGGACCTGACTTACCCACCCCTGCTGTTTACTGTAAGCATTACTTACTCATAATTACGCATTTATGCTCTTTAAAAGTGTGCCACAGTGGTGACTAGCCATTAATTAACCATTTGTTAATGCTCTTTGTGACCCTGTAAAGTCTAAAACATGTATTTATTAAGGAACACTTCATAAATGCATATAAGTGCTAAAAAAAAATATTTTTTAACCATAATTAACCAGGTCCTACTGCTGTCAGAATAAGTAGTGGAACAATAAACCTAGATGTCGGTCATACTGAAACATTTCTGAAACACCTCTGAAATAGCATCTTCTGGAGTTCGTTGCAGTTATTCTCCCAAACACCTAATAAAAAGGGAACACATGGGTGTAAATTAAAAGAACTGAGCAAAAAAAGAAGTGAAAAGAGTAGTGAACAAAGGATATGATGAAGAAATTTAGAATCCTGTATACTGCCACAGTCCTTAGCAGACACAAACTCTCCTGCATGGTTCAGCCAACATTACACTGGACTGATATAGTGTATACACACACATACACAGCAGGATACTGTGTTCTTAATAAAATAGAGGAAGCATTTAAAGGTACTAGTGTCATACTTTAGCAAAAGGCTGAAACCTGTCAAAGCACAATAGCATGAACAAGCTGTCTTTCTCAAACGCCAATATAGCCACCCTCTCAGCAGACTCTGGTTCATGTTGTTCAACTTGTTCCTGGTGTAAAGTGCTTTCTGCAGTAACAAAGTACTCAACACATACAAACCTGGTAGTGTGGCATGCGCTGGCTCACCACTGGTGAACCAAAGGTTCCACTCTTGGGGGTATTGTTCAAAAGAAGCCATGATGCCGCGGAGGTTGGGGAGCTTATTCAGCTCTGTGATGTTATTCCAGCTGGAGTCTGCCAGTCAGCTCGTACAGGGGTTGTCCATCTGATCTTTTTTATCAAGTACCTAAAAACACACCCATCAATTAATCAGTAATCATCAGTAAGAAACTATCCTTCCATCAGTGGGTGTTTCTCAAGTCTCTTATATGATCAGTCCTGTGTCCTCAGTCAACCTGGGAGTCTTTTTGGTCTGAGGACATTCCAGGCCTATTATATTGGCTCAAAGGAGCAAGACATGAGGAGGCTGCTGGAGGAACTTTGAGGGAGGATACATGGAACCATCATCAGAAATCAGTTAGTGATGGAAGACGGGAGGAAAGGACATCTCATGTTGTTAAAGGTAATGTCAGCAATTCTAAGTCATTGCACATTTTGTCATATTCAGCTAAAGTTTCCTTGCATTTCCCTGCCTGACCTTTCAGTTTGTGGGCTCCACAACCCCCAGGTGGATGTGTGCTGTGCTTGCTCGGTAACCAGTGAAAAAAGGATCAGTCAACCCGGCAAATATCAGCCATTCAGCACAAGGTGGCAATCTTGCTCATGCACGGCGTAGTGTGTTTGTGCATTAGAGAGGGGGTTCGGTTTGGCTCGGAAAACTCACAACACTGCTGCAGCCAAAAGGGGGGATCGCTGAAAAAGTATGAGCTCCATCACTTCTGCTTACAGCCTATACAACTAAACAGAAAGACAGAAGCACTAAATGAATGAATGGACTGTAATGCTAATCAGGGTAAGTCGGAAATGTGCTATGTGCTGCTTTCCAAAAATGGAGAGAGTTTGAGGATTTAAAAGGTATGTGGATAGACACAGAGGTTGCTGGACAGGTTGGTAAATTGTTTGCTCTGTGCCACTGAAAATCGTTATGGTCAGTATGATGTTGTTCGTTTAGGTAGGCTAATCTATGTGGCAATGTTTTAAAGCAAATACATAACATTAAGTTCACTGGGGAGGAAAACACTGCCAGACTGCCTACTTAGAATGAACAAGAATGACAAATAAAACACAAACACAGAGATTCACATAAATCAGAAATTAAAGTTTAAATAGCCTTTTTTTTTAAATAAGTCATGTGATTTCTTGAATCTTGAATATTTAGAAAAATGCTTTTTGGAAATTTTTGAACACCTGCATTCAATCAGCAGCTGAAAGTGTTAAACTCACTCTTTTTGGAATACAAATTACAATTTGAAATAGAAACAAGACTGTGAGCCTTCTAAACAATGTGAGCTTCATTTAAGCACTATTTATAAAACAACTTCTAGGGGGATTTCCTGACAAAAGAATACTGTCTGATTTAAAAGACTAAACGTGGACTGTTGTAGTATTAAGATGAGATGTGATGATCAGCTCCCCAGTGAACTTAATGTTATGTATTTGCTTTAAAACATTACCACCAAAATTATATATATCTTATTATATTACTGTTACCTTATAGACTCAAGAATACATCCAATACACATTTTGTGTGATTTTGTGGCCACATTTCTCCCCATCTTTTCCCTCAACACATTCCGTTTTCTTTTCCACTTCT